AAGCAAGTTTGTTCAGAGGACCGAATATGAGAGAGATCAGTAGTAACTTAGTTTAGGTAGTCAGTATTGGCACCCATTAAAGGATCCCCAAGGAGGTCATTTGTTCCAGATCCCCAGTCTTCGGTTCGGGATTGAGTCGGGAAGAATGTGAGTGCCGCCGGTTCTCCTCGTCGACATTACCCGTTCGCTTGGCAGATGTCATGTCATCTCTGGAAACTGCGTCCTCGGAGATCCGGGAACTCAAGGAGACGCCATTCGCGTTAGTCGAGTCAGAAACTTCTGGCAGCTGCCCAAGAGCTTCTCTGTCATTACTGTCGTTGGTTCTGGTCTGCGCCTTCGCCAAAAGTTCATGCTTCTCCGACACTTTCTCTTCATGACCGTTCGCAATGGTCCCAGCCCCATTCGCTTCCAAGTCCATGGCGAGCTTTTGTGTGGCCCGACGGGACCACGCCCGGTAACACATTATTATGGTGAGTGCCGAGAGTAGGAAGGTGACACAGACAGCAACAATGATAAGCAGATACAGTCGAGAACCTTGTTCTAATCCATTGCCCAAGTGACCGTCAGACATGGCATTCGGCGTTCCTGAAAGACCAGGTACACCAAGTTTAGAGAGCTGCCACTCGGAGAGCTTCGAAAGAGGCAACCAGGGACACCCGGAAGCCAAAGAAGTGTTGACTTCCTTGGCGGTGTATGTTACTTGCTTGTAGAGTTTGGACTCCAGCAAACGATTCAGAAGCATGGCGCCTTGCGAAGTCTGGGAGCAAGCTAGGAGATAATCATTTCGTCCGTAGACAGGGTCTGCAGGGGCACTTGAGGCACTTGTTGAAGCTTTAAGCATACCACGAATAATGCTTGAATTGCCGACTAAAGCAAACGGATTATCCGGCCAATTCTCCATGGTGTTCCAGGCTTTGGAGTCCTGAATAGTTGGCACAGTGGCATTTGGCGAACTAACAATTAACTCCACTGGTCCACCGAGGGCACAGAAAGCGTCTGGTTCAATTCGCTGGATGGGGTTAGCGGAGATGTTGAGCACGAATCTAGGATACTCAATGGTGGGGAGAGATCTCGCTAGACCCACAAAACCGTTGCGGGTCAGGTGAGTGAGTCCGTTCCAGGAAATATCTAGCCACCGCAAGCGCTGATATCTCTCAGAAGAAGCATCCGGTAGGCAGACGAGGAAGTTAGCAGAAAGGTCCAGTGTTTCGAGACCGGGCAAGGATGAAAAAATGTTAGAAGGGATCTCAGTTAGACGATTTCCACGAAGAGACAGCTGTTCAAGACTTGATAAGCCCTCGAATGAGTCGGAAGACAGGTTTCGAAGTTTTAGCTCCACGATCTCGAGCACTCTGAGAGAGTTCATTTGCAGAAAGAGGCCTTTGGGCAACTCGCCAAATCCACCAAAGTTGGCGTTGTCATCATGGCTCATCCAGAGATGTGTTATCGTGGCCGCAAAAGGCTTGAATAGATTGGGCGACAACCGCTGCAATGGGTTACCACGCAGGTCAAGTATACGCAGTGAAGTTAGTCCGCGGAAGGTTTCGTCTTCAAGGTCTGTGAGAATATTGTAGTCCAAACGGAGCTCAGTAAGTTCACTGCAGCAGTCACTAGAAAACACCTCAGCTGCAATATAACCAATCTTGTTCCTGCTAAGCGTGAGACGGCGTAGACGCTTCAGGCCAGAGAATACCCGACGAGTCAAAGAATGGACGCGGTTGTCAGTAGCGACTAGATCCACTAGAGTGCTGCCAACTGACCGGAAGACCTCCTCACGGTAGCTGACAAGCTGTGAATTATTTGAGATGTCCAGAAATTCGAGGTCGTGCAGGCCACGGAATGTCGTGGAGGTAATGTTTTGTAGGCCTGTTTGGTGGATTTCTAGCGCAGTAAGACTGCTCCAGCCGGCACAGCCACTAGACGCAGGAGCCTCAAAACCGTCATCAATTTGGACGAGATTTGGCATGTCCTTTAGCACCAGTTTGGAGGGTGTGGCGTTGGCGCAAAGGCCAGACGAGAAGATACTAGACAGGTCTCTTACCTCAACACCTGAGCACGTGCACGCGTAGACGAAGTTTTCACCCTCTGACAAGCACTTACAAACGGGACCCGCTCTGACAAGGGAAGTCAAGCAGAACAAACATAATGAAAGACTCCTGACATCCATGGTGGTGTCTAACAGTCGATACAAGATGCCGATGTTAGTCTGACAGGGATAATTTCCCAACAAGGATAAGAAGACCACCTCCTAGAAGCGTTGACAATTGGCAAACTAACGAAGGATAAATTGTATAATCACCCCAGCAATCATGTAGCCGCCTGCATCCGATTGTCTGGTCGGACACGAACGGCGATTGGCCACTGTCCTTACACGCATCTCATTGGTCCAAAAATAACCAATCATCGTCTTAGTTTGCTTTTACCCCGCCTGAGTCAGTCCTCGTTTGTACGCGCACATGTGCCGACACTACAATGACAAAGACAGCTGTATCGTAACA